TTTTAAGATAACATATATGTCATGTAGGTCTCTTCCTAGTTTCTAGAAACATTCATCACCTTATATTTACAAAGCCCTTTCATCTATATTTCATTTAATTCTCATTATAAACCCATGAAGTAGAAATCACCACCTCTACTTTAAAGATAAGAAATAGAGCAGAGAGGAAGTGATTTACCAAAGGTCATGGTGGTAAGTGTAAAGAGCCAGTAATTAAATTTAGGTCTCCTAATTCCAAATCTAATCAAATTTCACTAAATTGACAACTGCCTCCCAATATATCCCAAGACTATACACTTTAAAAATATATCCTTTTAATCCCAATAGGCATGTCTGGACTATTCAACCTTACTCTAAGCTTTTTTATACCCTGTCTTCTCCTGGTATGAAAACTTCCAAAATGACAAAACACCCTTTATAAGCAGCCACAAACCCAGTAGGACTTATTTTTATAAAGTCAACTTTTAGTATTTTTTAATATGATTGCCCCTTGGATAAATAACATAGTCTATTAACCTATTTCTTTCAGAGTACTGTGTGACAATATATCCAAACTTATTCCTGGAAACAAGCAGCCAAATCAGAAATTCTGCCCAGTCATCTCAAAAACCTACTCATTTGGTCAATGAATGTATGACTGTGTCAGGTAAATTTAGTTCTGGGGAGGAAAAGCCAGCAAGAAAACCAAACCTGAGATGGATTCAGTAATAAGGAAATTTGTATTTAATTATAAGGAAGTAGAAACAATTTTATTCACATTGAGAATTTTAAAGCATTGTTAATGATTTCCATTTCTCCTAGTCATTTATAAAATATGCAGATTAGGGTTTCTTAACACCAATAAAAGCAGTACTTCATTTAATTTTCCTATTCCATGTACACCAATCTTTAAAAATGTAATTTTGTTATGGTATGGTTATGGTATTAAGAAAGTCCCTTAAAACATATCGTTCAGCACTAATGGGTCAGGAGACCTGGTGCTGAGGAGAAACCCACACATATTCAATTAATACACTGCTTCCTAAGATCCAAATTAAGGGGACTTAAGGCATCAAAATATACAGTTAATAGAACAACAAACTTTACAAAACTGAATTCTGAAATTCAAATGCTTGTGTAAATTATCAATTAAAAAATAATCCACATCTATTAAGTCTGTTAGAAATGACCTCTTACAAAAAAGGGGGTGGGAGGGAGGCAACCTAGTATCAACCAACTACTAAGTACCTTGAGCATTTTCACCTTTTGCGTATGTATTCATACAGTTTTCAAACTCAACAGTGCTAAAGCAAAACATGCTATTTTTTTTTTAAAAATAATAGGCATCAACATAAAAATGTGTTATACTGAAGAGAAGGGCAAGCATCAGTCTGTTCGCAATACAACTTACTAAGACTCTCAAAAGGTAGATGAAAATTAATGACATGCAACCATTGCCAACAAAGAAAATGTTAGCTCAATAATATCATCACCCAAATGAAAAACATTGAATGCAGTTTTTTTAAAAAGTCAAATCACAAACAACTGCTGAATACGAGGTCAGGATATAAAGTATCAGCATATATGTAGATATTAAAAGTGTTGGGAATTCTTCATATACAGAATGTTTAATTTAAATTTTACAGCATTTGTACCAATCAAATAAAAGGCTGGTAACAACCAGATAGGTTTTTAAATTCTATGAGTAGCAAGGTGGAATTCAGCTGTGAAAAGGAATAAAACAGGAAATACTGGGTTCTAGTCTCCGTTTTAACTCACTAGCTATGTGAATTTGGCCAATTCATTTAGCCTCTTGTGCCTCAGTTATCCACCAGTATTGGATTAAACCACCTATAAAGGTCCCTTCCAGTTCTTGGAATCTTTTTAAAGATGAATGATATAGTCTAGGTCACATTACCGTACTAAGAAAAAAAAAAAGAGAAAACAAGAAAAAACTAGGCTATGAGTTTAGAATCTTTGCTTTTCTCACTGTCATTTCAATCATGTACTTCTATCTCCCTTTTATGACTATCTTATCTTTTAAAAGAGAAATATAATGCCTTTTTCAGAAACCTGGGTATTGATGTTTCACAGCTTTTACCAAGTGCACAATATTTCTCAACACCCACATCACTTGTTGGTTATTTCCAATATTGGCCTGTATCACAGGATGCTACCAAGGCCTCCACCACTGCTGGTACTATTACAGCAATGTGAGATTATACAATAGCAGCTGTTGGGTAGTTAACTTAACCTTGCTTAAAGTCTTCTATCTTAACCACTTGAAAAGGACAGCAGGAAAAAAACAAAAGGATTCAGAAATGTCCCTCACATATCTAATCACCTTATAGGTCTACTGACCTTGCAGCATACAAACAATTCTGACTGTACTTGAGCCTTCTACCATGTTACATGTAAAGAGTATTAAGAACAGCAACAAATTAAAGAATGGAGACCATGACAAATGCTGTCGATTCATAGGATCAAGTTAGTTTAAAAAAAAAAAAAAGGAAACCATGATGATAACATTAAATTTATTCAAGTACTTCAGACAGAGAATTTAATCTCTGATTACCCATTACATATTCTTTCATCATTGAACTATGTCACTGAATTAGAATGTGTTCTTATCCATACAAACTCAATTAGGACAAGCACATCTCATTATTCTGAAGAATTCAAAACACGACTCAAAAACTCAAAGGTTCAATGTGTTTATAAAAAAAGTTATTGATGTAAAGTCACTGACTACTAGCAATTTTGGTGTTCATCAGTAACTAAAGTACTATTTTAAGGGTGCGAGTTTTCCATCAAAAATTAACTTTTAAAATGAGTGAAGCCAGCTAGTTTTAAAAATTAAAATCACTTGACCAAAAAAGGGAAATATTATGTACACCAATGACTGCTCCAGTTTGGATAAATTATATAGCCACCTTAGATGTAATTAACATTAACTACAACTTTGGTCAATAAAAAAATGAAAATTGTAGTTAAGAGTTATTTCCTTTCTTGCTACGGTTAAAGTGGAGAATATGTGGTAATAGATTCATTTTCATTACAAAAAAATTAAAAACACTGAAAGTATCATATTCATCACCATGTAAACCTTTTAATAATAACCCAGCTTATAGCAATGAAATTAATGCAAGAGGTCCAAGAATTTATATACACATTACACAGATGTTTTGTCTCAACATTATGTGGGTGTTACTGTGACTAATGAATTAACCTGTAGGTGCTATTACGACTAATGAAATATTTATCTTGAGTTGGAGCACTAAAATATGGCAGAATCTACAACATAAATATCAACTATACATTTCAGGGGCAAAACCACAAGTTCATCAATATATTTCCTACTTCAAAATTGCCAATTTTTTTATGTCTAGAAATATCTTGTTGATAAAAGGAAAAATGAACTGCTTGATTATAGGGGTACATCCATATTTAAGGCAGAGGAAACAATGTTTTCTTTTCGAATAATACACATGTACTATTGCTTTCTTACACTGGTTATTAAAACTTCAAGGGATTATGTAAACTGGATACGTTTTGAAACCAATGGGTCATAAGGTTCTGGATATCCTTTTGTTATACAAGAAATGTAAGGGCTAGACTTACAGAAAAAAAACATGTCCTAGTCCTAGGAAATATCCTGAAATTCTAGCACCTCACTGACAGAGGACATTTCGTTTTCTAATATGTTATCCAGTCCATGACAAATCAAGGGAACATGCAGCTGGTGACCTGCTCTATTTCCTAATCCACTCGGGTTTTGGAAAATAAAAATATTATACATATTATACCAATAAATGCAGATTTCCATTTGACCTACTGTATTACTATTTCCATCTTACTACATGGTCACAAACATGAAAGAATATATTCAACCAGTCTAACATTTTTAGATATTTCATTAAGTCATTTCTTTAAAGCCATTTCTGATTTTAAGTTTTTTAATCAAATTATATGTGGTAATAGTTGAAACAGGAACTGTGATAGACCAAAAATGAAGTCTTACTTCATAAAGCAGATTTACCTGAAGTGTTAACTAGTTTTTGATGTAACATAACCCGTTGATTTTTTATTACAACCTTTCATTCTCTTTGCATTTCCAATCTAATTAGAGAGCAATTAAGTTTAGAGGTATTAAAGTTTAGTGACTGGCATCAGACAGACCTGGATTAAAATGGGGACTCTACCACTTACTAGCTATTTAATTGAGGACAAATTACTTAACCTCTTCTCTGAGTCTCACTTATCTCTACCAAACTGTTAATATCCTCATGAGGCTTTGCTGTAAGAATTACAAAATCATGCATGATGAAGCACAGGGCCTCACATAGAAGTGTTCAATATAAGTTAATTCTGAATTTAGGCCACCCATCCCAGTTTGCCTGGGACAAACCAGGTTTGCACCTGTTGTCCAGGGGTAATTATTAATTATACCTCTCTTGCTCTTAAAAGTATTCTAGCTAGGGAACTAAATTATAAATTAAGTGGTTACCTTAACGATGCTGCTGCTGCTGAAGGGAGTTAATAACAATTAGGATATTATATGTCAATAACAACTTTTTGTATATTGTAGGGGGGAAAAAAATGAAACACCACAGAAAATAATTTAGGATTATAATTCTGTAAGGTATTCTACTGATATTTCACTTACAATTAAATGCTGTTTATTTAAAACCATCCCATTCCAACATTGATTTAAGGCAGTGAATTGCTACTTTTTCTTTTTTCTGTTCTATACAGGTACTGGTAAACTTCAGACATTATTTAAAAAAGGAAAATTCAAAACAAAACAAAACAAAACAAAACAAAACACTAGTGAGTTCCAGCTACTCAAGAAACATTACCATTTGAATTCCCAGTGAAAATACAATTCTCATCATGAAGAATGCCCAACACCAACTAAAACATCAAATAATTCCATTCAATTACAGGGTCTGCAAAACAGTATTTTTTAAACATGCATTCTACACATAAATCATCAGGAGACGCAACAAAAAATAAATTACCTGACTGTTATGACATAGTATTGTAATACAATAAACTGGATTTTAGTTTTCTTCACTCTCTGCTCTAGAAAAAAAAAGAATCCATTATTCTTTCTCTTTTATAAGATAGACATTTTCTTTGAAATAGACATCCTAAGAAAATACACATCCTATGTATTATACTTACACACACACACACACACTCACACACCCCATAACCCAATCAAATTCAGTGTTAGCATATTATTTGGGGGAACTGAAAAGGTCAGAGGGAACCTTTAAAAGCTGAGGGACAATCTACTTTTTAATATAAGAGTGCTTAAAATAAGCCTTTCCTTACCAGACCAGTACTTATTTTCAGATTCTGACAGTTACTTTCAAGGACTTATTTGGGATGTTACACTAGCCTCAGGCAGAAACTAAAGTATTGGTGATCAGAACATCTTCGGTTAAAGAATGCTTAAATCAGTTTTTCAATAAGAGGTCCTAAAATCAGATTTCTAAAGTATCTGAATTGGTCTTCCTGGGTACTTAATTTAAAAAATGTGAAAACTGATTAGGTGCTATAATTGTGCCTGCCTGCTCTCAAGTCATCCAGGACGGACATAATGTACCCGATGGGGTGATATGAGTAGTTGTTTTGTCTCTAGTCACTAAGAGTCAAGTAAATGATTAGTAGTAAGTAGTGCGTTTATTATTTCTTCCTCCCTTCAATCATTCAAAACCACTGCGGTTAACTTTGATACAGGAAATGTGGGCTTCTATTTCCAGCAAAAAATTATTGTGAGGCCTTGCAAATGGTGGATGACAACCTGATAGAAAGGCTTCCTCTTGCCCCAAAAGGAAAGAATGACCTAAATAACAAGCCTGCTAGGCCTCAGATTCCCGGACTAACCTGTGGAATAAGTATGGTGAAACTGTCTAGGGAAGGAACGTGGCTGTCTCCTCCATCTTGAAATTAATCAGCATAAGGGAAAAAGGGACTGAGTATTCAGGAAGCAGAAGCCCAACCGGTTAATACTAGTTACTAAAGCTATGGCGTACGTGGCAGGTACCGCCCGCAGAAGCCAAGACCCTTAGGCTTTTTTTGAGGGGGGAGGGGTTGGTGGCCTGTGTGCGGACAGAACGAAAATTAACCTGAAAATCATTTGGCCCAATTCCCACCCTTACCCAAGGAAAAACAACAAACACGCAACGGCTTTTCCCTCCGTGTTATTGGGGGGCGGGTTGGAATGGGGGAAATCCTCGCAGTGATATCTGTGGCAAAGCTACGCCAGGGTTATTCAAGCAAGGGAGTTAACCACATTTACCTCAAATCTATAGGGAAGATGTCATCGGGGCCCCAGGGGGCGCTTAATTGATAGTGCCCTGCCGAAGGGCTCAAAATGGGGTTTCACAAACCCTGGGAAATGTAAAGGCCCAAGAGTTCTCAGCATCTGACTTACAGCAGTCTTATTCCAACCCCCTCCCTTCCCCAAAACCCAAGCCCACCATAAGGGGGGGGGCATGAGAGACGCCTTCGGAGACCCGAGGAGAGTACACCTGAGACAATCAAAGACTCTCACGCTTGAGGCCAACACTCGAAAATCGTCTCCCACAAATTCTTAAGGCCTCTAGAAGGAAGGCCCAGGCTGCAGCTCGCGCGGCCGAGAGGAAGTACTCCCCACCTCCTTCCCCCGACAGAGCCTGTGCACTGTACTGGACACCCAACTAAAATGGCAGCGGCGACGACGCCACGGAGCCCCCCGCGGCAACCGGCGCCCGGGGTCCGGAGGCGGCGCTGAGTCTCCGCCACGACGCGCCACATAGGCCATTTTGAGAGAGCGCGGCTCCGCTGTCTTCCCCTCGCTCTCCATCCATTTCTCGGAGGATCCCGAGGTTACACTTACTCGGTTTAGTGTCGGATTCGTCTTGGTCGGTTCGGCCGCCGCCGCCGAGGCTCCTGCGCGCCTCCCCTGCAGCCTCTCTCGAGCCCGCCTCCGATGAGTCGCTGGTGGAGACCCGCCTCTAGCCCAGCGCCTGCTCCGAGACGTTGCTCAGGCAGCCATTATCTTCCCCATTGTTACCAAGCAGCGACAGGAAACGACTGCCCACAACAGGAAGTGATGACGCCAGGTCCCGGCCCACAGCCCCACTCCCAGCCCGTCGGCCAATCCCAGGCGATTCCTCGAAAAGGCTCGGTGGGAGGAGGAGGGAAGGAGCGGGTGACGCGGCGAGGCGGGTCGCGGTTTGGAAAAGGAAAGCGGCTGTGACGCCCACCATGTGACAGGCCCCACCCTCCTCCGCCATTTTGAACGGCTGCGAGAAATCCGCGTTCAGAGAATTGTGGGAACCTTCGCTTTCCCATTTTGAAAACCGAAGGACGTCACGATCTGACGGCTGGAAGGCGTTCGCGGAGCCCCAGGACTGCGATACTGGGCTGAGCTGACGCGGACCCCAGGCCCATTGAGCACCGCCGCCTCCCTTGTATTTGACGTGTCTGTTGAGCGCCAACTGTATAGCAAGCACTGTTTCATAGGTTGGGGGTACAGCGGGAATTTAAAACGGACTAAATATCTCAGTTCCTGTGGATCTTTGTGTCCTACTTGGGAGGGGGTTGGTGAGGCAGCATGAATTTATATGTGGTAGTTAATCGGTCATAAATGCTAAGGAGAAAAGGGGGTGGGAAAATGCGGGGGGAGGTAATTGCAATTTCAATGAGTAGTCGGCAGCGCCTTCTCAGCGGTGGTGACTGAAATGCTTAAAAGGGGCGGCGATTCTAAAAGGGTGGGAAAATCTGATAACTTTGGAATTTCTGAAAGGGCGGTTGAGGAAGGCCTTTCAGATGGTAATGCCTGAAGGAAGCTAAGGAATAAGCCATCCTGCCAGCTGCCATTTTCACAGTTAAAAACAACCTTACCCCAAATTTTTTGGGTGTTTCCGTGTTTTTCCATTTTTGTTTTCTGTGTTTTCAGGTGCTCCCAGCTAAGCTGACTTTCCCACAAACCAGACTTGTTCCACCTCTGCAACTTTACGTAGGCTGGAATATTTTTCCTTCATATCTTTGCTTTTTTTCACCCAAGCCTTTTCTCAATTTTCATCTCTCCAGAGAAGGCTACCCTAACTACACTATTTAAAATAATAACTCCCCCATTCCCATATCTGCTAATTTTCTATAAAGCACTTAATCTGAAAGTATATTGTTTATCCCACCCCTGAAGAGCAGTAAATTTCTTTGTTTTGTTCACTGTTATATCCCCAATATGCTCATAGTGAGCCCGTAAATATTTTTTGAGAAACTGTCCCCCTCTGCATGATGACGGTTTCATCGGTCCACAATATAAGTATCTCACCCTAAGCAGTTAAAACAATATGCCTCAAATTTCCATGCCCTGTCCCCAGCAGGCTTGACATTGTCATTTTGCATTATGTGTATATAATTTAGGTGTTGTGTTTCTACTCAGTTTTGTCTTATATTATGTAATCATGTATTAGACCTTTTACCAGGAATGTGTAAAATGAATTCTTTCTTCAATGGCCCACCACTGCTACTAAGCCTAATATGATTTCATATTTTACATTAAATCAACTGCCTCATGAACATGCCAGGGAGTGGCTAATGTTATCACCATAACCTCCATCTTAGGCTTAGTAGCAGTAGTGTGGAAGGAAAAAGGAACACAGGTGTGCTGTTGGTGGGAATGCAGCCCCTAAGCAAAATAGTATGGATGTTTCTCAGAATATTAAAAACAGATGGACCATGCAGTCCAGCAGTTCCACCTATAGCAATTCCACCTATTCTTTGTGCCCAAAGAATGCAAAAATGCTAATTTAAAGGGATACATGCACTTCTCTGATCATTGCAGCTCTATTTACTATATCTGATTTATGGAAACTATCTAAGTGCCCAATGATGAATGAGTGAATTAAGATGATGTGGTATAGGGCCTCCCCGGTGGCGCAGCAGTTGAGCGCTGGGTTGCGAAGCTGTCTGCAGCCCCTGTAGCGCCGGTTCGATCCCCGGCTGCTCCCCAGCCACTGGAGGAGGGTCCCACATGGCGCGCAGACCTCTCCTGCCGCCCGCTGCTCCCCTCAGCAGTGTACTTCGGTCCTTCTGCCTGCTCTGTTCCCCGCTCTGGCTCTGGTGAATTCTCTCACCCTCCCGCACTTCTGACTGTACCCAGTGCTTGTATAAATAAATAAATAAAGCTTTAAAAAAAAAGAATAAATACATTATAAAAAAAAAAGATGATGCGGTATATATACACAATGGAATGCTACTCAGCTATTAAAAAAAGATGAAATCTTGCCATTTGTGACAACATGGATAGAACTGGAGAGTATTATGCTAAATGAAATATGTTAGCAGAAAGCCAAATACCAGATGATGTCATTCTTATATGGAATATGATAAAACAAAGCAAAGGAAAATACAAAAACCAAACCAAAAGTAACCCTTGAATCTGACTGCAGAATTGAGGCTAACAGAGGGAGAAGAAAGTGGGAGTTCAATAATGGTGGAGGGTTCTGGGTGCTTTGGCGGTGGGTATGGTGTAGTAACATACAATTGAAGAGTGGGAAACATACCCCTAAAACATAATGAGACACAGGGCAAGCTAGGAATTATGCAGTTTTAGGGACAGTGCAGGAGGGGACTTCTGAAGAATTTAGGGAGGCTTCAGAGATAAGGACAACCAAGGGAATGTAACCAATTCCATTAGGAAAAACAAACATCTCAGGACCAAGGACAACATTGTTAAAGCTGGTCCTGGTTTCCTTCAGGTGGTAAAGGGAGGCGGAGATTGGAGAAATGGAGAGTGGTTTAATTTATGGACAACTTAGAATGGCAGCTGTTTAACTTCAATGCAGGGATGTCCATCCAGAGGACTGGGCCATAAAGATAAAGATGCAACAAATGGGGAAAGACAAAGCTGTTAGATAAGGAATGTGAAGATCCCCCACTCAGCAGCAAATTAAGTGTGACAGCCGAGAACTTACCAATCACAAAGAGACTGGTGGAGCTTTAGAATAATGAGGGAAAAAAGGTATATATTCCCTGAGACATAACTCCACTTTGGCTTCCTTGCCCCTCCCAGGCCTGGTTCCCTGGCCTGGGAGTCCCACTTTATTTCTGTTCTTTTTCTCCTCAATAAACTTTTTCTTTCTCTAAACAAACCGCCTCTTCTCGCTTGCTTGCCTGAGCATCTGCGAAGTTCCTGCTGCGGCTTCGTGAAACACCAACCCGTGGGGGTCTGGTGGCTGGGACTCAGCGCTGCCCCTGCAGCCTGGGATCCGTTCCTGGCTGGGAGACTAGGCCTGACAATTCCGGTATCAATAACATTGTAAACCAATGTTGCTTCAATAATTTTTTAAAAGCAATTTCCAAAATAGAATGTATTGTTCCCTTTATATATTAAAATATGTGTAAATATGCATGGAAGTCTAGATGAGTATACATGCAAATAAAATGTGAACCACTTATTAGCCATATTTTTCTTTACCTTTTTTTGGATTGTCTAGAATATTTTATAATGTGTCATTTTCATTTTGAGAGAAAAATCTGCTAAAATAAAAGAACATCTCCCCTGTCCACTTACTCCTTTGCTGCATTCATTTTACTTCTTTTTCTCTTGTATGTATTTTTCTATGCTCTTTTTAAGAAAGGAGGTGCTTACTTCCCATAGTTAGGAAATGACTTGCTTCCTCTTAAAACAATCTATTCCTTGATGACATTCAGTGCTACCCTAGAACCTGAGAAAGCAATCACTGAGCAATTCTCATCTGGCGTCCATTTAGCCTAATTGCATTTTTCTCCCATGAACTTTTTACATATGAACTTCAAATGACTTTTACCCCTTCCTGGTAAAATGGTGCTTGACAGGAAAAAAATGAAAGGATTTCCCAATTTTTGTGTTCATTTATTTGACAAACTGTATTGATCACCAACTATTTGGTCTATCAGTAGACCATAGACAGAAGACTTCCCTCTTGTGGCAAGACATTGAACACATATCTATAAATGGAATAAACACAGCAAAGGAGTCATGTGGGCACAATGGGAAGGGTATATAACAGGATCATTTAATTTTTAGTTGAGACCTAAGCTGAAAGAACGATGCTGAGAGGAATGGAAGATGAGAAAGGAGCTCTGGGAGAGGGAATAACCTATAGAAATTCCCTGGCATGAGAAAATGGAACCAAATGACTCATTTTCTCTAGAATATCATTCTATTATATTTTCTTGATAGCGCTAAGCACATAGGAATTTATCTTGTCTATTCGTTTGTGCTGCTTATTGATTATATTTTGATGTTTATAGTCTGTCTGTTTTCCCACTGTCCAGCCCCCAGTGTCAAGTTTTATGGGAACTAAGGTTTTGCCCCACCCCTTCACCGCTGTATTTTTGTGGGATGCTAACATAAATCTTAGGCTCTCAATCAATATTTCTTAAATGAATCAACAAATTAGCTTGTAGTTCATATTAGAAAATTTAAATCTCATCCTACTGAAGAGTTTTAGAAAGAGATTATATAAGAATAATCTGATAAAGGTTTTTTAAGACTGCTATGTGCTCAAGACTGCATTTTCTGTATAGTGGATATACTTACTGTATTAAGATTCCAATGCTCCAAAAAATTTTTTGAAAGAATAACAAAACAGGGCCTCCCTGGTGGCACAGGAGTTAAAGTCTCAGCCCTATCAAGCTATCGCCACTGCGGCATGAGTTCCATACCCAGTCAGGGAGGTGACCCACATGGTGCAGCAGACCTCTCCTGTCTTGCCCACTGCTCCGCTCAGCAGTGTATTTCAATAGATCTGCCTGTTCTGCCTCGTTCTGTCTCTGATGAATCCTCTCACCAACCCCCCCACACCTCTGACTTACACCCCAGTTCTTGTATGCATAAATAAATAACAATAAATCTTAAAAAATAATAAACATTCCAATACTCTTTTATGTTAGGAAACCTTACTGCTTTTGTTTTGAAAAATGACACCCACCACATACGTATTTATTTAGTTTAGATGCTGCATTTAGTGTCTCAGGAGCATTTAAAAAATTTTTTGACTAAAAATCACTGACCAAAATCAATTTAACCAGAAAACCA